TATATATTTGCAGAGAATCCATAAGGCTTGGTATTATAGTCATTCCTCAAAATATATTTTCTGTTCCATATCTTTAAAGACAAAATAGTGCAGAAAGAAATGAAATTTCATTCATTCTTTTGGCTGTTGTTTTAGAAAGTAAGAAATGAGTGCCACGGAGACCGTGAAGATTTACATTGATTGCTTTCTCAATTCTTGCATGAATTTTATCTTACACTGGCTTTTCTTAGAGTTTGAAATTGTACAAGTTCATATAAATAGATGGTGCTTTGCCATGTAATAGCTGAGAATTTCAAGTTCACTGGCTTAGTTTTTGGAAATTAGATTGGAGTTTCATATTTTTTCTTACATGTATTAGGCAATAATTATTAACTTAAATTACTGAACAGAGCAGCAAAATTTCACTTCTTAACAGGGGTTTTACTTTCAGGATCACCAAATCTTCAGTGGGTGCCAGTGCTGAGGGAATAATAGGGTGTGATAGGCACACACCATAAATGACTGAAGAAGTGGATAAAAGCAATGGAGTGGGAACCTTGCAGCATCTCAGCAGATTAGCTCTTTGATCAGATTTGATTCACCATGAGAGACATCTGCATGTCTTGCCCAGCAGCCCAGAAACCTGCTGCAGACCTTGCCTCAGGCAACTTGCAACAGTGCATCGCCTGGGTGTGAGCACCACTCATGCAAACCCCAGAGGACGGAGCAAGTGTCTCTGGTGGCTGGACGTCTCCTCTAAAGGTGCAGCAACTCCTGAGACCCAGTACGTGCACAGCTAGCAGTGACTGGAGCTGTGCAAAGCAGCACCCTTCTGTCTCTGTCACCCTACTCCAGACACTTTCAGTGTCCTCTGTATTTGTTGCTGCAAACACCAATGCTCAATCATTTTTTCAATGTGGAAGTATCACACTTTGGGACGCACACCCTCACAAGAAGCACGCTAGAAGTGCACTCACACGTGTACCATAGTTCTCACAAATGTCTCTAAAGGCTCAACTCTTTTCATGTTTGACTAATATATTCCATAGCTATTTCTGGCACAGTCCTGAAACACTGTCCCAAATAACACAGTTAATGTTGTTCATAGCATTGCAATAATTTTCAGTTCAAATCAGGTTTTTTGTGACGTACTGAACTTCCTGCTGCTAATGCACCATTCGCAAACAGCATTGTAAATTGTGTTGTGGTAGAAATAGCTATTAGACTTGGGAAAAGAACTGACCATCTCGGGGCTGGATACAAGCCTGTAAACCAAAATTCTCACGCGGCTGAAGGAGGAATGCGGTTAGTTAGAGCCCACAACAGTCTGATAAGTGAAACCTCATTTGCTAAACAATGAAAATAGGCTGGTGCTGTAACTCACTGATGAAAAGCTTGCGTGGCCTCCAAGCCAACCTCTTTTCCATACACACTGATATGCCACCAGGAATAATTTAATTTGTAGAGTAAACGAAAATGTCGTGTGTGAGACTGTTCCTCATCAAGGGGCAAAATCAGTGATTTCATAGGCAGGCGATTCATGGTCTCGGAACCGCAGGGGCAGAATTCCTCACCTGTCTGCCTGCTCATAGTGGTCTGACATTGACCTCTGACTTCCTTCTCACCTCCTAGTCTAAGACTTTCTCTGTTTCCAAACCAAACACATTAACATTTGGAAAACGTTCTCTATGGCTTCAGCCTATGTGGATGTGGGCAGCAATATTCACTAATTTCTGTCTGTCTGCACAGGGGCACCATGTGCAAATGACTTGAAAGAATTGAGCAGTTTGGGCCTATCGCCTCTGCGGGCACCTGAAGTCTCTGACCTTTGGGTTAGGTTTCTATCCCTTGGTAGCTAGCTTCTGACCAGACAGCAGAGGATCTAGACTTTGGTTACATAGGGAAGAGCATGGCCCACTCCAAGAGGCGCTGGAGAGCTTCTGGCTCCCCTTTGCAACTAGTTCTCTGGCTCAGGATTCCAGATGGAAGAATGCTTGCTGAACATCACAGCGCATTATGGAGTTTCTTCCTACATTTTCTTTGCATTAGATAGGAAATATAAACAGAATATCAAAACAGCCTCCTAAGACAGTAACAATAATTTGTTTTTCATGTATTATTATCTACATAGTTTTTTTAGAACGCAAGATATCGGCAAGAAATTTTGTCCAAACAATATTAGCACCCATCTTGCTTTTCAGTCAACCAAGAGAAACTAGGCCGTCTTGCTCCCTTAACTTCCTGTTACTTGTGTCTTTCTATTTGCTTGCTTTCCCCTTTCTCTGATCACAGTTTCTCCCTATTTTTTAAGAGGTGAAAAAGAGAAACAAAACAGTCTCAAATCACTTTAATACTAGATAAGCAATAATTAATATATTCTGCATTATCTTCATAGTAGTTTTTCAGAGTACAAGATACAGAGATAAAATAATGTCCAGACAATATTAGCAAAAAAACTTTCTTTTCAAAGAAACTTAGAGAAAACAGCTGTATTTTTCTCTGCATATATATTTAAACGATTCAATCCCAATAAACACATTCAAAATGTCTACTGTACAATTTTTAATTTTTGTGGAATTGGGGATTGAACTCAGGCCCTTGCACTTGCCAGGCAAGCAGTTATTCTACCTAGCCATCTCCCCGGCCTCCTCCGTTGTACAATTTGGATCTTGTCCACTCATTCTGATCTTCACATTAGTGTGACAATGCAATATTTATATGTATGGGAGCGATTTATTTCACTTACAAGGATTGTGTCAAATTGCATCGACTTACCTATAAAGGTCTCACGTTTATCTTTCTTTATGGCTTAGCAGTACTCCATTATATGACAACAGAGTCCACAAAATACATCTCTTACCTCAACTCCCTCAAGTGTATGTGAGACTACGCCATTGAGAATGAGGATTATTTCATCAGCTGTGGATTATTATAGCATGTGTTATCACTTCTCATGTTCTGCCCCAACACATTGCATAATTCAGTGCTTTTCCTTTATGGCTCTTTTGGAAAGAATGAGCCCTACATGCAGGCAGGATTCTTAATTTCACATAATTATTATTTCCTGGTTTGTTCAAGGGTACTGTGACACCAGCAGCCACCCAGTAGTTGTCTGTGAAATCATTCAGCCTTTATCTTCCTTTTGTGATCAGGGTTAGTTGTCACTGTTTTCCAAGCAGGGCCCATGCGCCCATGTGCAATGACAAAAGCACAGCTGTGTGTGCCCATGTGGCCAGGGCACCAGGCCCAGGAGGAAGGGTGGGACAAAGGCAGGAGCACATGGAGACCTGCATGAGGGGCGCATGAGTCTGGCATGGCTTTGGCAGCCTGTCTAATGGCTACAATAGGAAACCTGGCTTGTAGAATCAGGGTTTCCTCTTAAGTTCCACACCTGCCTGCTGGCAGGATCACCTGTTTCCATGGGCCAGCTTCAGGCCCCAATCTACTCACAGTAGGCCTCGATATGTCTGTATGGATATGTGCAATACAGCCATGAGAGAATATTATTTAACCCAAAAAGAGAAGTTAATCTCACCCTTGGCAACACAAATGAACTGCCCATACATCTAAAATAGATAACTTACGAATATTACATTGTTAGAAAATCAACCCTTGCTGTACATAAAGTTACACACAGAACCACAAAACACACGGGTCCTTGTTGTTCACTCGGCTGGCTTGGGCATCTCCTCCTAAACTTCATGGTTACTATAAGAGTGACAGGCCCTGATGACAGTGGAAATGTCGGAGGACACTGAAGCTTGCCCCTACGTGGCTCCAGTTTCTGGCACGTTTGTAACTCCCCATTATTTATGTTTCTGCTGCATTGATGGCTTCTGCTTGGGTCTCAGGGCCTGGGCATGTGGCTCCACAGCGAGCATCCTCCTCAGGCCCCAAAGGCAGATTCCCTGTATCCACAGTTCCCACTACTCCTCCAGCCTCCCCCTGAGCCTGGAGCCACCAGCACTGTCCTGGCCTCAGTGTGCCCTTTTGTCACCTCCTGTGCCCTCTTCCATTCTGATACTTTACTGTGACATTTTTTGTAGTCTAAGTATCTGGGTGACACATATCTTTGCTTATGTAGAAATACAAAGGAGTATTTGCTCTAAGAAAAAATAAAATCTATATCAGAAAATTCTACATAACCTACGTTTTCCCATTCCTTCAAATTCCAGTTGACTGTAACATTTCTGAGCCTCTGTTCTTGCTCTGACCAGGGAAATAGAATTTCCACCAACCTCCGTTAACTTCACTGTCCTCTTTCCACTCAAGTATTCTATCTTGGACCATTTTTATTCAGGATTTTTGAAATCCCTAATCCAGGGAGAAGTGGCACAGCACAAAGATACAGGATACACTTAGGATATCTAATCTAGAAAATGACCATCTTCTTTTGAGCATGTGTGTGTGGGCAGAGGGGGAGGGTGTAATCCAGAAATCAACTTTGGGACCTTGCCCTTGCCAGGAGGACACTTGAAATGGACTTTATTTCACAATGAAGATGAGTGTGTGAGGAATATTTTGAAATGTAAGTTGTATTACTCAGGTATGGTGATGCCACCAGATGAAGTAATCAGAGCCATTGAAAGGAAACTTTCATAGCCACATATTCCCAGAGGAAGTGACACACTATTCCAGGAACAGTTACAGACAAGCACTAGGGGCATCACGGAGGCAGAGGAAGAGAGGCAGTGTTGTTGGCAAATACGTTTATTATGCTTTCAGCCAGAATGATGTGAGGCAGACGAAGTTTGACTCAGGTTGATTTGCCCAAATTCTATCAGTGTTCTGGAGGAACAGTGGTTGGCCCCAGTGGTATGGCACGTGGTAAAAGTGACTGGAGCAGACCCACAGTGCCTGGAGCTGCAGAAGGCTTGCACTCCTCTGGTAAGCGGGTGGTGTGAGCACGGGCACCCAGCGGATGTGCACGTAAGGAGAACATCTGCCACTTCAGAAATCCACACATCCTAGCATTGATTCACACGAAGGGACAATTCCTGAACACCTGTAAGGGCCTGGTTGTGGGAGCGCCCAAGACAGACAACGTGTAGGTCCAATCCAGGCCTGGAGCACACGCCACCCACGTGGACTCGTTCCCTCAGCTGCTTAGGGCTCTGAGGTGAGCAGGGCTGCCGCTCACCTGTGTTGCGGAGGGGTATGCGCCATGACTGTTCCTTGTCTTCTAGTTCTCTCACCCTGGCCCTGGCCCAGAAGCCCAGAGCTGTAACTAGGATACCAGGCCCTGGAGGCAACACAGACCTCGTGACTGCTGCCGGAGTCCCATCACAATGATGTCGCCCCATAAGTGTTCTCTTCCTGAGCGCTCCCGAGTCAGCATGCATGTGTGGCTGATCCAGCGCATTCTGAGCAATGTGCTTCCTCCTTCCCCAAACCCCAGAAAAGATTCTTTCCGCTTGATTTCCTTGAGCCAGACTAGTGACGAAAAAGCAGAATAGGAACTCCCTGATTTCTTGCTGCAGTACTTTAGCTTAACTGCTCTGACTAGGCAGTCAGAGAAGTATGAGGACAATATTAGCACAGGGTAAGAGGAGAAAAAGCGCTGGCCAGGTTAAGAGTCAATTCAAGCCGCTCACCCAAGCTTCGTGGTGGAAAGGTGAACCCAAGAACAAAGGAGGAAAGATTACTTGGAGGCATTTTTGTCTTGGGTTTCTGCATGTGATTGCCACCTTTCCTCTACTGCTTTGAGACTGGGTGAGCTCCTAGCACCAGACTGATTGTCTTAGTCCTGTAAATGAGTTCCCTCACCCACATTTCTCTTTCCCAAGCGACATGGGAGCTATCTCATCTTGTAGCTGCAGCCACTGTGTGCTCTGGCTGTTGTTTTGGCTCTGACTGCTGAATTTGTGTTTATTCCTGGGATGACACTATCCCAAGTCTAATACTGTTGCAGTGGAACCAGTGTGCACAATGAGCACCAAGGACATGGCGTACCATAGTCTTTACCCTCCTACCTAGCCCAGGCACCCAGGACTTTAGTTGGTGGCCTTGCCGCCTGCTGCAGCTGAACTGGGTGCACAGATTTGCAGGTGCCTGTGGCATCCCAGCTGGGTCTGCCTGGGAGCAGAGCACAGTGCCCTCCGTGAGCCTGGCCTTTGTCCCTCCCTCTGGTGGCACTCCCTTGCCATTTGGAATTAGGTACTTGCATTTCCTTTTTGGCGAGCTCAGCCCACCCTGAGTGTGAGGCAGATGTAGCATGTGGTCCTAGGGGTCTAACTGTTGTCCTCTGCATCTGCCTAAGCTTGCTTAACCAGGTGCTTTTGATCACTGAGCTATCTTGCCACCCCAGCACTTGCATTTTAAAAGAATATTTGTTTTTCATCTAATTGAGTAAAGCTAGAATGTTGACGATCTGTCTGCACTACCTTTGTTTTACTGTCGTTTCACTTGTGAGTGAACATTAAAATAGTACTCAAAGATAAGTCCTTTGTGATGGTTATAGGCAGCACAGTGAATAGAAGCACCAAGAAAACAACAACGATTTTGGTATACATCTATAAATTTTTGTTGTTCTCAAGATGCCATCTGTCTCATATTTATTTCAATAATACTACATAGCTTTCTCCTTTTTGGCTTCTCTCAAACCTATTTCTCTCTTGAAGCTCATTTATCTCTCTGGCCCTAGTGAACACATTTCTTGACCTAGTGAACCTCTTTCTGGCCCTAGTCACAAGTTTTACACTTGGTCATGTTAGTATCACCCGCATGCCTGTGGAGACTACTGTCTCTAACCAGTGTGCTTCCATCCCCTGTTGCATGCACTTGGAAAGCCTTCTTGCTGTCCACTTCCTCTCACTGGGTGTCCTGTTCAGGCATTAAATGCAGGGAAATTTGATCTACTGGTATAACCTTGAGAGAAATGGTAACAGGAACGAGGAAAACGTAGACAAGAGACAAGAGCTGCCTCAGGTAATTGCCCATTTCCTGATTGGCAACTGACTTCAGGAATAACTGTAGGACTGTTTATACCTTTACAGAGTCAGTATCAAAGACACAAGATTGCCTAATGACTAGCAGCTTACATTGTCCAGACAGGATGTTTTCCTCAAGTCTGAATTAGCTGACTGCTTCAGACACTTGTCACAAATTTCTCTGAAGTCTCAACTCTTTCTATCCTTTAGCAATGTATTCCACAGCTATTTCTGCTACAAACATTAAGTAATTTCATAAATAACAGAATTAGTGATATTCATAGCATTGTAGTAATTTACCATTCAAATCAAGTTTTGATGTGATACACCTAATTTCCAGCTGCTAAAATACTGTTCCAAAGCATCATTTATTAAATTGTGTGGTTTTAGAAAAACGTATTAAATTCCTAAAAGTCCTGACTGTCTTGGTGGTAGGCACATGCCTATAACTGAAGCTATTCAGGAGTTGGGGGCAAGAGAATGGCAAGTTTGGGCCCTGTCTGGTATACCCAGAGAAACCTTTCTTTGTAAACAAGGTAAAAAACCTCTGGGGATGCAGCTCTGTGATGAGGAGCTTTCCTAGCACCCCAGGGAGCTTCTGGGCAATACACACTATACCACACACAAAGCGTAATTTAGTTTGTGCTGTTAAAAAATGTATGAGTAAATCTGTTTCTCGAGTTGGGGAATAAAATCAGTGATTTAAAAATAGGATTTGTGTCTTTATAAATCAGAAACAGATTCTACCTGTCTGCATGCTCATGGTGACCTGACATTGATCCCTCTCCTTCCTCTCTCCTCCCATTCTAAGACTTTTTTCTTGCTCCTAACTGAACATTTTAACATTTAAAAAACAGACTCTTAGGCTTTAGCCAATGTAAATTTGGGTAGCAATAGTCATCAGTTTCTGGCTATTTCCCAGAGGGCATACTGTCCAAAAAAGTCACAGGAAATTAACAGACTGAATCTATAGCATCCATGTGCAACTCACATCTCTAAGCTTTGGGTTGATCTAACCCCCATGATAACCACTGGCAAACAGCACTACAGAGAAGCAACACTTTGGCCACTTACATAGGAGGGTTTCCCCTTTCCTTGGGAAGCTGTAGAGCTCCCCAAGAAGCGCTCTACTCACAGTCTGAGAGGGCCTCTGCTTAGGCCTCAGAATGACGGCACATCCACTGAGTGTCCTACAGGCAGGATTTCTAGTGATCTCCTGCTAGAATCATTTTGGTTTCTCTATGGCTATTCTCCAGGTAGAAGCTGATGGTTGCCACAGCTTGGTCACTAGCATCTGTGTAGACATTGCTAGGGCTTCTGAGCATCTGAGTTCAGGTGAATACCAGTCCTCAGGGCCTGTACTCTACCTGCCTGTTTGTTGTGTGTCTCTGGCATCTTCACATCGGGGCCCTTGCTGGGGTATGGGGATGATAGTGCTTAGGTGAGACCATTTCTGGTGAGGGTTGACCGCACACTCCACTTGCAGACCTGTCACTGAAGCTTGTACCCTTACCAGCTGTTCATCAGTCTTTCATAGTACTCTCATAGACTAATCCACTACCTA